GTCCTGTGTATGTCTTCCGAATACTGCTGCCTCCACCGCCACCCTGCGCCATGTGCCACTTTCAGGTCTCCTTACACTGTTGGTGGGTTCCATTTTGTGATAGGGTGTGTATGGCCTTCCATTGCTGCTGCCTCCACCGCCACCCTGCGCCATGTGCCTCTGTCGTCTGCTCACGCTGCTGACGGCTTCCGCTTTTTAAACTAGGCCTGTGTATGGCTTCCGAATACTGCTGCCTCCACCGCCACCCTGCGCCATGTGCCACGTTCAGGTCTCTTACACTGTTGGTGGGCTTCCATTTTTGACCTAGGCCTGTGTATGGCTTCCGAATACTGCTGCTGCCTCCACCGCCACCCTGCGCCATGTGCCTCTGTCATCTGCTCACGCTGCTGACGGCTTCCGCTTTTTAACCGAGGCCTGTGTTTGGCTTCCGAATACTGCTGCATCCACGCGCCACCCTGCGCCATGTGTCTCTGTCGTCTGCTCACGCTGCTGACGGCTTCCGCTTTTTAACCTAGGCCTGTGTATGGCTTCCGAATACTGCTGCCTCCACCGCCACCCTGCGCCATGTGCCTCTGTCGTCTGCTCACGCTGCTGACGGCTTCCGCTTTTTAAACTAGTCCTGTGTATGTCTTCCGAATACTGCTGCCTCCACCGCCACCCTGCGCCATGTGCCACTTTCAGGTCTCCTTACACTGTTGGTGGGTTCCATTTTGTGATAGGGTGCTGTATGGCCTTCCATTGCTGCTGCCTCCACCGCACCCTGCGCCATGTGCCCTCTGTCGTCTGCTCACGCTGCGACTGGCTGACGCTTTTTAACCGCTTTTTTCCGAACCACCGCCAGGCCTGTGTTGCTCACGCTGGACGCTTCCGCTTTTTAATACTGCTGTGTATTCCACCGCCACCCCACCCTGCGCCATGTGTCTCTGTCGTCTGCTCACGCTGCTGACGGCTTCCGCTTTTTAACCTAGGCCTGTGTATGGCCTTCAATTGAAGCTGCTTCTTCTCCGCCACTCTGCCATTGGACTCTTGATAGTCGTCTCCCCACCTGCTTCTGCTGGGGGGACTTTTTAACATAGGCCTCTGTATGGCCTTCAATTTTAGCTGCTTACGCTCCGCCACTCTGCCATGGGCCCCTGTACCGCCTCCTCATGCTGCTGCCAGGCCCGTAATCTGCCATGGGCCCCCGTACCGACTCCTCATGCTGCTGCCAGGCCCGTAATCTGTCATGGGCCCCTGTACCGCCTCCTCATGCTGCTGCCAGGTCCAGAGTGTGTCATGGGTCCCTGTACGGCCTCCCATTGCTGCTGTCTCCATCGCCACACTCTGCCATGTGCCACTTTCAGGTCTCCTCACACTGCTGGTGGGTTCCATTTTGTCATAGGGTGCTGTATGTCCTCCCATTGCTGCTGCCTCCACCGCCACACTGTGGCTCCACACTCTGGTTTTGGCCCCGTGACTGCCCAAATGAGTGAAGTGTGCGGTGATTCTAAAGATCGACGGCACTCATCTGCATGTCATACTGACTGACAGTATTAGTTCTCTTCCCCAGCAGACTCCAAGGGCATTTAAAATTAAAGGTACAGTGTTCTGCACTAATATAAAGGCTCTCTGAAGCCTAGAAACAGCCTTTTTATAAGTTAAATTTCGCAGCGAATATATTCGGCACGAAGCAAATTTAATCGGCGAATTCGGCGAATCAGCCGAACCGAATTTTTGAATAATTCGCTCATCTCTAATGTTAAGCTCATCTTAAGCCTAAACTTATTCAGTCAGGCAGTACACAAGGCTATACATACAAGAAAAGCATAAAAATCCATAGTAACAAATCTGAAATAACTGATCTAATATGACTTTTTATTTTACTAGGTTGTGAAAAAGTATAATGTGGACAAATAAATAAGTATGTATAGACCAACATTTCAACATTTCGATAGAAACTAAAGACTGTTGGAAAAGTGGTATTAAACCCCAAAACGCAAACTTAATACATTGTAGCAGTTACAGCAATATATATACATATATACATTTTTTTTTTAACTTTTGGATAAAGTTTTTTCATAAATTAACAAAAGCTTACATTGTAAGAACTACTGTCTTTGTTAAATGGTTTGTCTCAACCCTTTGCAGCCACCACATTTAAAGACTTAGGTTTAATACAGATTTAAGGACACTCAGCAATAGTGAGTGCCTGATAAATATATATATATATATATATTTTTTTTTTTTCTGTTTCTTTATTTTTCATGAGAATGATGTTGAGGGTATTCGAGTGTTTTCAGACAGTAGCAAAGAGAGTTGAAGTGAGTAGAGACAAAGAAAATATTTTAACTGATGGATTTAATGTGAAAGCAAGTAGCATAGCTAATGTAACCAAAATGAATGAAGGGTCAGTAGCTTCCTCAAGCAGGATAGCTTAATAGGGAATTCCATAAAAGTGGTGATCCCCTGTATATTTTGGCCACCTCAATTGACAGAGCTGACGGTGCAGTGCTCAGTAGTACATAACCACAATGTACACATGTATGCACAAGTTACTTAACCAGTCAAGTAACAATAAAGTTAAGAATAGCTAATTTGAAAGAATATTAAGCACAAAGCTTTAGGAAAAAGAATAAACAGTAATATAGTAAAGCCTCCAGCCAAAATTTCTAATGAGTTTGTTAGTGAAAAAAGGAGACACCTCTGCTCATGCCCAAGGAAGAAAGCTTGCCAATGCTTTTGTAGTCTTGGCTAATAGTTTCATGTGTCTTGCTCAAGCATAGTTCATAGTATAATTACAATCCCAATCGTAGTTTATGCTGAACTGAATGTGTTCTCTCTTGATAAGAGTTGATTAACAACTTCAATACTAGGCACTTTTACCTCCTTCCTGCCCAGGCCAATTTTCAGCTTTCAGTGCTGTCACACTTTGAATGACAATTGCTCGGTCATGCAACACTGTACCCATATGACTTTTTTTTTCACACAAATAGAGCATTCTTTTGAAGACTTTTTAGACCAGGCTAAATCCATAGGAGAACTCTTTACAAGCAAAGGTTATCCACCAAATTCGATTGAAGATGTTATACAAGAAATAGGCAATATGGATCGCATAGTGCTCAATGAAGATAAGACAAAAGATGATGGATTGTGGGACCAACTGCCAATTATTTTAGATTACAATATACACCAATATAGATTACAATATACAATTTACAAGATTGAAAAAATCTTTAGAAAACATTACTTACTTAGGGTTGACAGGTCTCTACAGGGGTTGCTACCGGTTGGCCCGAGATTTATCTATAGGCGTGCTCCCACACTTAGGGTGAAACTGGCAAAAAATTTCCTGGATCCCCCTAAGGTTATGAAACAAATCACCTTTTTGGACAGTAAAGGGTTTTTTTCCCTGTAAAAGACGTTATGCCTGTGTGGCCACTAGAGGTCATAATTTGAAATGGGTTGTTTTGTGTCCCATAGGAACGGTTCAGAATTTCAGATTAAAGATTTCATTACTTGCAGGTCTGAAGGAGTGGTGTATGCCCTCCAATGTTTATGTGACTTACAGTACATAGGGTGGACAAAAAGGCCTCTATGGAAAATATTGAGAACACGTTCAAAACAACAAAAAGGATTCTCTAAACACAGTGTTTCCAGACATTTTTCTACACACCATGGTAAAGGTTCCTCATCATTGTTATTTTGGGGGATTAAGAAATACCAGCCCCACTGGAGAGGCAGAAATAAAATTCGATCCCTCAGTCAGTCCGAATCCAGGTGGATGTTCGTTATGCAGACCCAGGCTCCTCAAGGACTCAACATTGAGTTCACTATTAATTGTTTCATCAGTGATTTTTGACCCTTCACCTATGGATAGGGTCCATGGTCTGATGGGATCAGAGGCTAGATGATTGTTATTAGAAGTCCCTCCCCTGATCCGTTATTTTCCTGTTTAGGGCGTCATTCATTAACCCCTTAGTTTAGTGAGATACGCCATATATAATTTTTTTTGTGTTTTTATGAGACTCTCTGTATGTCTCCCATATATTCAGCTATCTCCTATGTTTTCACCACCATTGGGCTCTTCAGTCTCTTTTTTTCATGTAGGTCTTTCCTCTGGTATTATTTATATAATATATGTATTTATTATATGTTTTATCCATGTTCTTTATTTTATTTTTATGCTAGCAGGTAGTGCCTTTTTATATTCATTTTATATCCATATACATTATTGTTTATTGTGTAGGTATTTATATGGGTGCCGCCTGATCACAGCTGTCAGTATATACATATATATGTATATATATATATATATATATATACAATTTTTTAGGTTTCTCCTGATAGCCCCCCCCCCTGGTTTTATACCCCCATGTGGGTTTATCTGTTTAATTCATATTTTTACATGTATTATACACTCTCCTACATATGTCAGCCAGTTTTAGATTTCCCCTTTTCTTGGCTGCCAGGGTAAGGTTCCCTTCTATTTATATGTCTTAGTTTTGTCCCCTCTCTTATTTATTTGTTTTGGTTTTTTTTAGTCCGTCCACCCAGACCCACGGGGGGGGGGGGGGGGTGCTTCCCGAAGTACATCGGCATTTTAACCGCTTACCTACAGGGCACTTATACCCCCTTCCTGCCCAGCCAATTTCCAGCTCTCAGCGCTGTCACATTTTGAATGACAATTGCGCAGTCATGCAACACTGTACCCATATGAAATTTTTATAATTTTTTTGTGACAGATAGAGCTTTATTTTGGTGGTATTTATTCACCTCTGGGGTTTTTTATTTTTTCTTAAACAAACCAAAAACCACCGAAAATTTTGAAAACAAAAAAGTTTTTCTCTTAGTTTTTGTTATAGAATTTTGTAAATAAGTGATTTTTCTCCTTCACTGATGTGCGCTAATGACGCTGTAGTGATGGGCACTGATAAGATGCACTGATGAACACTGATAGGTGGCACTGATGGGCACTGATGAGGAGGTACTGGTAGGTGGCACTGATGGGCATTGACAGGCATCGCTGATGGGCACTGAAAGGCAGGACTGATATATGGCACTGATAGGTGGCACTTACTGGCACTGTTAGGCGGCACTGACTGGCACTGATAGGCGGCACTGACTGGCAGCACTGATAGGTGGCACTGATAGGTGGCACTGACTGGCACTGATGGGTGGCACTGAAGGGCAGCTCAGATGGGCACTGATATGTGGCATTGATGTGCACTGGTAGGCACTGATATGTGGCATTGATGTGGCACTGATGGGCACTGGCACGTGGCACTGTTCAGCACTGACAGCTGGCACTGATGGACACTGACAGGTGGCACTTCTGGGGCCACACTGATCAATCAGGGCACACTGATCATCATGATGATGATGATCAGTGTACATGTCCCCTCCGCAGAATACCGATTACCGGCTCTCCTCTCGAGCTGTCAGCGTGACAGCTCGAGAGGAGAGAAATGCCGATAAAACGGGATTTCCCTGTTTACATGTGATCAGCTGTGATTGGACACAGCTGATCACATGACCGAGCCGACATCTTTGGCTCTTTCCGTGGATCGGTGATCCGCTGTTTCCGAGAGACACAGAGCACTGCCGATCGCCGCGCTGCGTGCTCCCTGAGTCGCACATGCGTGGTGAGAATGGAAGGCCGTCAAAAGACGGCCTATCAGAACGAGAGAACCACCTTGCGCCCATCATTGGACTATATGGTCAACGGGAGGTGGTTAAATAGTTTTTAAATGTTTTTCATTAAAGTTTATATTTTATATAATAGTCTTTCTATCGTCCCACTCCGCAGTGATCCTTTACTGCTCCAGTCTTTATTAATATGGCTGCCCCAGGGGTCCTTCCCTGTGCTGATTGATTGACTCCCTTTAAATGGAGTCCTGTGTCACCACCTGTGTTACCCTGAGGAAGTCACGTGACACATGACACAACACGTAGGATGGAATCGTGGTGACCTCAGTTCCGCCGTAGACGACAGCAGCCATCTTGCTACAGCCATGCAAGTACACCCAGGCTGTTACATGCTGTTCTGAGCTTTTTTACCTTGTATTTGATGTAGTTGAGCCTTATGAATCAAATATACGGTCCTCCCAGTCCTGGGTAGTCTTCTTAGCAATGATGGTGGTACTCTTTACCTCCTTATGTAAATTCCACCTCCAGCCACTTGTACCACTCCTGCGCATGTACCTCTCCTTACACGGCTTAATAGTAAGACAGAGAATGGCCAATATAGTGTAAAACTGTTTATTACTGCATATTGAATAAATAGAAATGCCCACTCATGTTTGGAAAGACACAGTCAGGCTTTCACACCACACTATGGGTGTACTGCATGGATGATCAAAAACGGGTGCACCAAGATGGCGCCTGCATCGGATGTGATGTCACCACGCACCAGGAGCTCCTCCCACTAGCATACCTACGCATTATGTCACAGTCTGTCACGTGACTTCCTCAGGATATCGTTTTTGATCAACCATGCAGTACACCCATAGTGTGGTGTGAAAGCCTCAGGAGGTAAAGAGTACCACCATCTTTGCTAAGAAGACTACCCAGGACTGGGAGGACCGTATATTTGATTCATAAGGCTCATTGGTCCTGTGAGGCCTGGGCAGGAAGGTGAGGGGGCACCCCAGCTTTTGAGGATTGGCACAATACCAGCACAAGCACAAGAATATCACTTGCATGTTATGTGAAGTCATGCCATTCATGTGGACTATCTATACTACGGTATTTATGTTATCTGTGGGGCACAGTGTGCAGTAGTATTGTCCATTAGAGTTTTTTGCACGGTTCACTGACTTACTTCATCCCCCAGGGGATGCACACACTGTGTTTGCACTAACTTATGATCCCTCAGTTGAGGATCCAGGAGTGGGAGTGTGTCCTTAGTAGCACTTACCTACTGTATAATTGATATTGTTACCAATTTATTTGTGACTTGTTTTTGTCATCATATTGGTTTTATGTAGTGCCGCACTACTTTGGTATATATTGTTATTTTGTGCCTAGGTTGAGGCATTTTGGTGCTGGCAGCTTATATTTAGTGTATCCATACCAGCGCAGGAGGCACTATACATTTTTGCATTGTATCACTTAGTTTTCACATTGAATGCGGATGGATATTTTTCCACATTGGAATTTTTATATGTTTGCACGATGATTGGAACTTTTTAATATATATATATATATATATATGTATATATATATATATATATATATATATATATATATATATATATATATATATATATTGCATACAAGTGCACTGTTTTTTAGTCTGATGGTATATTGTTATATTTGTATTTATTCATTTCTTAGCACAACATTTGTTGTTTGAGCACGCAGAGCATGTACAATATATTGTTTTTCCCTGTTTAGGGATGTATTAAGTCACTGGGCAGGAGGGAAACATTTTGTTAGCCCGTAGGGCATTGAAGTACATGCACATCTGTGGGGCCCCCACATGTAAGTTGGGTGCTATATCCTCATAATAGAGGCAGCGCAACAACATTTAAACATTAAAGTGGTATTAAACTCCAAAACAGAAATTTATTAAACTGCAGCTCACTAATTTGTAAGTGTGGTGGCTGCATTAGTTTTCTTTTTTTAAGGTTTTTTTTTTTATTTGGTTCTAAATCCAAAACAAAAATTCAGTATATTACAGTTTACCAATCTTTAGATATGGTGGCTATATTTGTTTTTATCAGGATTTTTTTCTTTATTTTTGCCTGGTGATATAGCCAGTAAATCTGTTACTTTTCAATTTCCTTTAACAGACCATGCTGTCCAGACAAAGTAGGAGTTAGAAGGTTGGAATAAACCATTTTCTGACCGGGGTGCTTACAAAAGTCAGGTTGTATGTTAAACTTTACCCAAAAGGAAAAAAAAATGTCTGCTTTAACTGCTTAAAAGTGTTAACTAGGGTTCAGCTTTAATTTATTGATCAAGTTCATCTAAATCTGCTAGTCCAATGGTATCCTTTTCCCATATTGACAATACTGCTGTCCATAGGTGTCTGCTGTACTAAGTCATCCAGAATGCAGACACCCTAGGACAGGAAGTGTTAAGCAAACTGCTTAGTAGACTCCTTAGTGTGTTACTGGCTCCATCACCAAATGAAAATAAAGGGGAAAGAAAAACACTTTGAAAGCCTCTTTGATGTTTATAACCTGTACCACTTGATCCGAAGATGTAGGTATCTAGTCCAGCAAGGTAGGTAGGAGTACAGAGATAGGAGCATTTACTTCTGACCATTTTTATAGAACAGTGCCTGATGAACCAAACAACAGCTGGTAATATACAAGCAGGTGCTTGGTCTAAGAACTAGCCGGTCTTCACCAGAACTTCCCATGGGGGATGTGGGGTTCCTCACATGTTAATACCAAGTCTCAGTCCTCTAAATTTCTCAGCAGTAAAAGAACAAATGGAGGCAGGCAGCAGATGAAGCAAATAAGAAATAAACTGAAGCATAGTCGGTGAACAAGACAAAAGGTCAGTAATGAGTAGTAGCCATAAAATTAAAATAAAGTTACTGTATAACTTATAGTTTCTTATATTATTGTTTAAAATAGAATTTATTAGAGATGTTAAACCTCTTTTTTATTTTTCATCAGTTGTTAAAAAAAGAAATCTCTTTCAATTTGCAACATACATGTCCAGTAAATTTTTTGGCAAGGGTTTTCAATTAGTGATTTAGAAATGGAAAGGCTTGATGAAATCTTTTGGCAATAATTTTCCAGAAGATTAATTTCTACTAAAATGCCAAAAGCAAAGCTACAACCTTAACAAGACAAGTATAATTAGTAGAGAGCTTGTTAACACTATCCTGTTTACTGATACAAATTTCAGCATTAAATGAGTTTGCCGTTTTTACATTTCTATGATATTTCTTTCTTCTATACCTTTTGTGCTGTTGTAGTCACATCATTCATGTATAATGTTTTACTCTTGTCTTTGTTTTCATGAGTAAAATATAGAAGACACAAGATCACAAGGATTTTTTTGGGGGGAATTGTAGTATTATCACTTAAACTATTAAGCCACAAATTAAACATTATGTGTGTTACTATGAAAAACTAAGGAGAATGTTATAAAGAGTAACTCTAATCTTGAAAAAAAATAATATCAAAATGATTGTTGGTGAATTTTATTTTAAAGAGTCAATCCACCCAAATAGTTATAGGTGAGAGCTGGCAGGCTGAGTCAGCCCCTGGTTTCTTACATATGTGCATGCTCCAACAGTGAGCTTGCTGCTATAATTCCCACCTCTTCTGTATACCAGAGTTTTTGGTGCTTCCGTCCATCAGTGCCTCCTGTTGAATTTTCCATGATAAAATATAATATAAAGTCAAACACAGGAAGTGAGATCTCCTCATAATGGTGAAAGAAGGTGTGTAGACCCAGGAATTTAAGCAGCAAAGCCTTCAAAGTACAAAATGATTAGGTTGCTTACTCTTCAACAATCACAAAATTTAGTTTGTGAGTATCAGCTATTTATTCTAGTTTGTATTAGTTTACAAACTAATATTTTACATGTTTTCTCTATTAGTATACAAGCTTTATTTTAAAATGATATATTTAATACATTGTGATTACAAGGCAATTAAAGCTAAATCATAGGCAGATATAAAAACATACCTTAATGCAGCTCTATATTTATTAATATATCAATAAATTCAGGGTTTTTTTTATGAATACAGTGTAAGTATCTGAATTTGGCCTGATATCAGTTTCTTGATTTTGCACAGGGCTTAGGTCAAATGGCAATCAAGATACTATTTTGCTCAAAGTATTGGTGGCCCAGGCTGTGGACAAGTGCAGCTACCAGGATGAGGTGAATATGATCACCGACACAAGCGAGGTCCGTCTGTGGATCAAGGGAGCACCATGTGGTGCAGAGAGCCCTGGCCTTCAAGTGCACTGATATCTGGACCTGCAGCAATGCTCAGTGGCCCCTTCCCCACATCCCTTGGCCAGGCCCCAGTATGGTGGCAGAGATCAAGGTGGAGGGCTTCAACCTGCTGTTCCTGACTTGCAAGCAGAGTTCTGCCTAGAGCGATGCCTTTGTGCTCCAGTTCGCTGAGGCTGAGAACAGGCTGCTGGTGGGGAGCTGCAGGAACAAATACCTGTCCATCCTGAATATCCTGTGGGACAGACTCCTGGAACTGCTCGAGACAGCCACTCAATGACCACCATACCAAGCAGCCCCCAGCGCCCTTCAATGGGGTTGGACATGGCGGGACTTTTCCTTGCACAGGAGGTGAGGGGTGACTCTCCCCTTCCAAACAACGTGAATCAAGTCATACAAGAAAAGATTGGACTTAAGAAAATTAAGGTACATTTTCATTTTCTCTTTATTGCTAATATTTATTTGCCTGAATGTTTGTCACAAGTGAACAAAAAATTATTTAAACACACCTTTTCTCCTTTAAAAGTTTACCAAGGTTAAATGTATTATAGTGCCAATGTCAGCCTGTGTCCAGAAGCTGACACATTGAAACCAGAAAGAGACCAATAAAAAACAAAAGCATAACTTCAGATATTTCTCTTGATAAATGAGAACAGAGAATGCATCCCATGTGTGAGAATATCAGAGTGCTTTGTGGTGTCTG